AACTAATTAATTCAAAAAATTATTTATTAAGAAAATAAATCTTTTTGTGATTTTTGATTTGTTAATTTAATAAAATAATTTTTGTATTGATGAAAAAAACAAAATAATTAAAGAAAAGAAAATAAAGAAAAATAGTAAAAATAACCAAATGGGCCTGCTGCTAGCAATTCTGGGGGGTGTGGAATTGAAATTCTTTGGCCCATTAAGCATTAAGCCCGATCAACCTTTGGATCCTGTGCCAACGTTGACTTGAGGAGCACCATAGACCTTCAAGGGAGAAGCGTGAGATCTGGCCAGCAATGCATCCAAGGGCTAGGCACTGAGGTTGCATGGAAGGCGTGCGAGGGAGCATTGCATTTGATTGGCCTGAAATTATTAGGAAAATAATAAAATGCACACGCCTGGGATCGAACCCAGGACGTATGCATCAAAGGCATGCCTCCCAACCATCTGCGTTGGAATTATTAGTTGTAAACATAATAAACAAATAAAAACAAAAGCCAAATCAAGTGTCCTGCCAGAAAAAACGTGCGAAGTTTTAATGGACCAGTCACGCCTTGCCATGCCATTGTCTTCTTCGCTGGGACTGTTGTCTTAGGTAACAACCTTTACCTACGGATTTTGGCCATGGCTATAAACCTGTGCATCTCAAAAATCATGTTCAGGCAAGATAAATTAAATTGGTGACCATGAATCAACTGGGCTTGAAGCCCTAATCATCATGGTACCCATCTTAAGAGCCAATTGTTCCTGTACTCAAAAACCCTAAAACAAGTTCATAAACCCTAGCAATGGCGTATTATGATTCCTACACTAAAAATCCAATTCAAGGACATAGGTAGCTTGAAAACATTAATACAAAGACAATGGTATAATCAAAACATGCTTATGGTTCCAAAATCAAAGAAATCAGAATTGAAATTTTGTGCAAACCGTGGTTGATGATGGGCGCGATTTTGGATGCTTCAGGCCTTGCAAATGAATGGATAAGCTTCCTGAGATATCCAGGAATGTATTGCTAACCTTGAAACTCCTTGAGGATGGCTCTAAGATGGATTTTGATCTCACACTTTTGTCCAAATTTTTGAGTTTCTTTCTTGCTATTTCACGCCTCCAATCCTTGTGTTTTTGATTTGGAATTATTATGCACTTATAGTAGACTGAATTAGGTCAACAAAATTGTATCATATCTTTGAGAATTATGAAAATTGGATTTGATTTGCTTCATGTATGATATCTTTCTAAAGCAAGCTTCAATCCAATCTTTTTCAATCCAAATCCACTTTGCACGAATTGGCTGGCATGTTAGCTGTATATGGACTCAAAATATGCACAAAAATCCCAAGATTTGATTTGTTTTCATTATTTTACCATTTAATTTGATTTATTTTGATTTAAATGAATAAAAAATCAAAATAAATGATAAAAGTAATAAAATATTAGGTGGAAAAGCTCAGGGATCGTGGGTCCTATTAGAAACATGTTTCAAGCAAGAAAACATGGGCCCCTTTGGAAAAAATGCAAATTTGATCAATGTTGACTTTTGATAATTTTCTAAAAATGGCCAACTTTGACAATACACAACTCTCTCAATTTTGACCATAGGAGGGTGTTCTTGGACTTTTTAGAAATCTTAGGATGCCCTCTAAACAAACCTTTTGGTTTCATCTCAATTGGATCTTCCATGTTCATGTATGAAGCTTTGACCCAAAAGGTGTTTTTGTTGACTTTTCAAAATGACCCATAATGTAGAAATTCATATATTTTTGTGAGTGCGTATTTTGAACTTGTGAGCTGAATATGAATTGTAGGGAATTGTATCCTCTTCAAAATGAGCTTTGGATGGAAAATTTCTGATAAAGTATGAAGAAGTTATGCTTGGTCAAAGTTGGGTTGACTTTTATGAGAAACCCTAATTTAACAACTTTTGGGTTTTGATGAATTTGGAGCATTCCTTGAGGAATCATGATCAAACCTTGATCAAATGATGGATGTCACTTCAAAATGTTGATGTTGACCAAAAATATTGAAGTTTGACTATATGTGGGCCACAATTGACTTTTGACCTAATACAGTCGATTCTCAAGCCTCTGAGCAGTTGACTGAGCAAACTTCTTATGCAAGGCATGAAACTTGACATGTAGGGTCTTGAGAACATATTAAGACCATGGAGAGCATATGACACCTTTGTGATTCACCCATCTTGATGAAAATATAAACCCTAATTTGGGGTATAGTGCCTTAAGAGAGAGTTTGTCTTGTCCACTCTTGGGCAACCTTGAGCAAATTGAGGATCTCAATGGGCATGTATTGAGTAAAATGAGAGGGCAAATTTTGGGGTACAACATCTTCCCCTGTTCAATCTTCTTAAACCTTAGGATGTAGATTGGCTCGTCTGCCTTTCGTGATCTGAAGGTGGAAGATGATTGAACACTAGAGTGCCTAAAAATTGGCACTCGCATGAAGTGGCACTTGATTTGCTATATCGGGAATGGGATTATAGATGTCATTTAGAGGTCGATAATAGAAGATTGTCGGAGATGGGCTTAAAGATTCCATCTAGGATGCGATGGAGAATTGTCAAAGATTGGCTTAAAGATGCCATCTAGAGAATGTTGATTTTCTTGTGATATTCCTTCGATGAGAGTCCCCATTGCTGTCGTTGAGGAGGAATCTACTGAGGAACGTTGGTATTTGTCTCGAGAAATAGAGTTTTAGGAGCTTCAGTTATCCGTTACTCAACTGGGGAAATGCGAAACCAATCGTGTTTGATTAGGTCCAGGTCTTATAGTGTTGTGGACTACCGTCTGGAGATAAGAGAGAAGGGACCTGGATAGTAAGGTTATGAGAAGGAACCTGGATAGTAGGGCTGTGAGAAGGAACCTTAGTAGTAGGGTTACTTCGATTTGAAAGCCTGGATAGTAGGGCTGTGAGAAGGAACCTGGGTAGTAGGGTTACTTCGATATGAAAGCCTGGATAGTAGGGCTGTGAGAAGGAACCTGAATAGTAGGGTTACTTCGATACGAAAGCCTGGATAGTATGGATTGTGAGAAGGAACCTGGGTCGTAGGCTTACCTTGATATGAAAAAGCCTGGATAGTAGGGCTGTGAGAAGGAACCTGGGTAGTAGGGTTACTTCGATAAAGCCTGGATAGTGGGGCTGTGAGAAGGAACCTGGGTAGTAGGGTTGCTTCGATATGAAAAGCCTGGATAGTAGGGTTGCGAGAAGGAACCTGGGTAAGGTTGTTTCGTGAAGTGTTTGGGTAAAACTGCATCGGGAACCTGGTTAAGGTTACTTTGAGATAAGTTTGTGTAAAACATCAAGAGGAATTGGGGTAAGGTTACTGCGAGATAAGTTTGTGTAAAACTTCAGGATGAACCGGGGTAAGGTTGTTTTGAGATAAGTCTGTGTAAAACTTTAGGATGAACCGGGATAAGGTTATAAGTTTGTGTAAAACTTCAGGATGAACCAGGGTAAGATTACTTTGAGATAAGATTGTGTAAAACTTCAGAAGGAACCGGGGTAAGGTGATAAGTTTGTGTAAAACTTCAGGATGAACCGGGGTAAGGTTATAAGTTTGTGTAAAACTTCAGGATTGTAGCGGTGAAAATCGGAGATCAAGCTATTAATTAACTTGACTCACAAAAGCAAGAGTCGCCACCGCGCTTTATTATTTCCAAGGGAAAAGGGAAAAGAGCGAAATAAAACCCTACAATATGCAATGTAAAGTAATATTTAAAAGTAATGAAAATACAATGCGTTTTTAAAAGAGATCGAGAGTTCGGGGGTTGGTTATACAATGGGAAGGTATTAGCACCCAATGCATCTGCGGTACTCTGCAGGAACCTTTTGAAATATCTGTTTTTGGTTAAAATTGTTTGTTTGATTAAAAATAGGTGTGGACGAGATTTTTGAAAATACGACGAGCTAATGTCGAAGTTTTTGACTTAAAAGGTGTGCGTTTGAAAATGGAGTCTTTTGGGAAAATTATCTTGAGTTTAGCAAAATAGTAAACAAACAAAAAATGAAAAAAAAAAGGGTATTCGCACGATCGGATTACTTATGAAGTTAACAAAACATTTCCCTTGGATTTAACCATGAATATATAAAATAACTTTCATCCACACATGGCGGAGAAATAATCGAAAACTCATCATAACATACTTTATCGACTTATTTATAAAGGAATAATGATTAATCGGTAAGCCCTAAAAAGTTTAGTACAAATTTATGTTTTATCTAAAAAAACTAAAGACATATTCTATATATTTTTTATATATTAAATAAGAAAATATGCTAACATAAATTAATCTAAGAAAATCTAATTAAGGTAACTAATCAATTTTTTTTGTATTTTTATTAAATAATATATACTAATGAAAGAAGAAAAATTAATTCCTAAATTAATTACTTAAAGGCAGTGAAATAAAAGGAATATTTTTTTTATGTTTTTAATTAATAAAGCAAAAAGAAAATTGCTTTTGTAATTTTAGATTTTTTTATAAGATTAAAATAAATAACTTAATCTAAGTTGAAATCCTAATAATTGGATTAATAAAACTAAACTAATGCTTTTTTGTATATATTTTTTAAATAAAACAATAAAATAAAGTAATGGTTTTAAATAATTAAAAGAAGAAGAAAAGGTTAGGCAATTAGTAACAAGGAGAGAATTCGTCCCTGTTTGCATTTCAACTCTATTTACTAATGTCTGGCTATCACGTGACAAGGCATATAATAAGGAAAAGAAAAATTAAAATAGTATCAATAACATAGATAAAGATTATTAGAGAAGGCAAAGTTGTGAAACCCAAAATCTCTCTTCCTCACCATAAAATGCAAATTACAGTAACCAAAAAGAAACAAAATAACAGCCAAAACCAACACAATCCAGAACAAATCTCACTTATTCTTAGTCACACAATATTAGTAAACAAACATAAATAAAAAATGGAAGCAAGAGGAATACTGACAAAATCAAGCCACAAGGATTGTCGAAATCAGAGGGCGTTCGTGGTGGGTTGTTGGAGCTGTAGTGAAGCGAATGATGGCTGGGTGTGGATTCTGACAAAGGCGCGGTGGCTGAGCTCTGAACAGCGACAACGGAAAACGACCGACGGTTGCGCATGGATTTGAGCGGCGGTGCAACTGATGCAGATCGGATTTCCGTCAGGTTCTTCAACGGTGGAGCACGATAGTCTGCGGCCCTTTGTGAGTGGTTTGTAATCGAAAAAGGTGTTTCGGATCTGAGCTTTGCATGACGTTTTGTGGAGGTGTAAGTTGAACGGATGCGGTGGAATGGTAATGTTGAAATTAAAGGGAGTTTGGAGAAGGAGGATGGTTAGCGTTTGGTGTTGTGAAGCAGCGTTTGTGTAGTCGAAAGCGGAGTACCGTAACTGTGATAACACAATGGTTGCTTTATCTTTGTAGTTTGAAGGCTTCGATCGAAACGCAGCAGCAGCAGCCATGGATGGAATGGAACAAGGTTGATTTACGGTAACGGTGAGATGATAGTTGGGATGGTGATAGTGAGTGCTTTTGAAACATTCAAAACAACACCAAACTGAGCACTGCTTTTGAAAGCTTCACATAGGCAAGAAGGAGCAGTTTTCAAGACAGATTTCAACCCAGAACAGCATGTTCCTTCTGGTTTGGTTATGGTACTGTCATTTGTAATAAATGATAAACAATCAGCCATGGTGAGAACAAGGGTTGAACAGTCAACAGAGGATGATGGAGCATGGTGTGATGATGAAGCAGCGTAGGTAAAGTGAATGGCCCAGATGGCGAAAATGCAGAGGGTGAGCGGAAGTTTCGGTGCCATGGTGAAGAGAGAATGGATTTTTTTTCCAGTAATTGAAGAGAGGAAGGATTATGCCAAAAAAAAGAGGGGGATGTAATTACTGTGTTGTTTTTATTGGGAGTATGAAGGAGATAAAAGGGGGGTATGTGGCGAGAGGAAGAGAGTTTACTGCTATTGCTTTTTTTATTGTTGGTTTTTTGTTTTGTATATAAGAAGAGAGGATAGGTTACTGTGTATTGAAAGTGAGTTGTGTTTTGGTGATTTTGTATCGATCCTCAATTTCATCCAACAGCCAATAGGAATAGAGTATAGTGTAAATAATATATTTTGTGATCAAATAGTCCTTAAATGATAAAATAACCAAAAAAACTAAATGTATTAAAATTAACTCAATTTAAAATGATTTTTTTAATATTTTATAAATAAAAAATAAAGACCCAAAAATGACCGAAAATGATAAAAAACGGACGAAAATTTATCCGAAAAAATAAAATGAACACATTAAAATAATCTACATGTCACAAAGATTAAAGAAAAAATATTCAAGAAGTCAAAAATCAAAAATAAAATAATAATAAAAATACTAGACTAAACAGACGTTTAAGGTTAAAAACGAGACTTCGAACTGTACCGAAAAAATAAAGCGAGCATACCGTCATAATCTACGCGAAACGCAGATTCATAAAATGATCAGTAAAAGGTGGAAACTTGAAATATTTTTTTCTCACTAATTTTCGCACATTGTTGAATCGTTTTTAACAGTTTGTCTATAAAACCAAAAATATTTTTATTATCAACATATAAACAACTTGGAGCAATGCAAGAAACGAGTAAAGAGATAAAAATGCATGAAGTGAAATGTCAAGTATTTTTTAACTAAAAGACGATGCAAACTTTGATTTAAACTGACTTTTCTGGTCAACTTAAATACGACTAATGATGCAAAATATGATGAATGAAGATATTTACTAATGACTGTGACCAAATGACAAAATATGGTATGAATGTGCGACTGAAAAAATTAGGGGCGAAATTTAGGGTGCAACAGTTGTGCCTTGATGAATCAGTCTTCGAGAATCCACAATCAATCGTACTTCTGGCTTGAGAGACTCAAAACCTTAATTGAGGCGTGACACCTGATGCTCTTGATTCAGACCTGTCTCTGCACATGAAGCAAAAGAAAACATGAACATACACCTTTGTATGGATTAGAAATTAGTGATACATGGGCTAAAAATGTTCAAAACACTTGACAATCTTCGCATAGTCAAAGCTCGAAGGTGAGACGTTAAAACCGACCGTATTTCGTGACCTTGACTTATCTTTAAAAAACGCAAAAATAAAAATGGGATCTTAGGTCAAAAATTGGGGTACAACAGCTGCCCCTATTTAAGTTACTTCTATCTGGAGATATGAAGATTGGGAGCTTCATTTCGACGAGATTGAAGGGACTTAAATATAGAATACATAATTTTTTGGCCTTAAGATACCGCGATTATGTTCATGATATGATATGAATGTAATGCTCTGAATTTTATGGGGAATGACACCATATGAGACAGACTATGCTGGAGAAACCAAGCACATTATACAGTAATCCCACAGAGGAAGAGGTTGTAACTCCACTGGGGAAACAGAGTCATAGACTTCAAATGAGAGACTCTTGAATGATTTACATCATTATTGAGATTGGAAAAGGTAATGATTTACATCACTACTGTGACTGGAAAAGCATATGATTGACATCAGTACTGTGACTGGAAAAGGAAATGATTGACATCGGCACTGTGGCTGGAAAACAAAATGATTGACATCAGCACTGTGGCTGGAAAACAAAATGATTGACATCAGCACTGTGGCTGGAGATAAACATCTCTGATTTCTGAATTTTACCAAAAACGGTAACACATTTCTTTTTTAACCAAGATATCGCTTGAAAAGGATAAAATAACAAACTTCCCCACGAGACTTTTCCGAAGGGATGCCATTTGCTGAGTAAACATTATTGTTGGGGATACACAAGCTGCTCAAATAAAGAGGCCGCCACTTGCTATCTTTCAAAGGTGTCAATAACATACAAGCTGCTCATGAAGAGACCGCCACTTGCTGTCTTCAAAGAATATTAAAACACACAAGCTGCTCATGAAGAGTCCGCCACTTGTTGCCAATAACCCACAAGCTGCTCATAAAGAAGCTGCCACTTGCCGTTTTCAAGGGAACAATAACACACAAGTTGCTCAAATAGATAAGCTGCCACTTACTGTCTTCCAAAAATACTAACGTACAAGCTGCTCATGAAGAAGCTGCCACTTGCCGTTTTCCGTACAAGCTGCTCATGAAGAGACCTCCACTTGCCGTTTTCAAAAAGTGTTGATAACATACAAGTTGTCCATGAAGAGACTGCCGCTTGCTGTTTTTAAAAAGTGTTGATAACATACAAGTTGTCCATGAAGAGACTGCCGCTTGCTGTTTTTCAAGAGAACAATAACACACAAGTTGCTCATGAAGAGACTGCCGCTTGCTGTTTTTCAAGAGAACAATAACACACAAGTTGCTCATGAAGAGACTGCCGCTTGCTGTTTTCTCTAAGGTATCAATAACATACAAGTTGCTCATGAAGAGACCGCCGCTTGATGTTTTCAAAGGTGTCAACAACATACAAGTTGCTCATGAAGAGACCGCCGCTTGCTGTTTTGTTGAAGATACTCATAAAATATCGTGAAGATATTTCTGGAGGTGAGAACCAATAATTTCCTCGGGGATGGACAAACTGCTCATAAAGAGACCGCCATTTGTCATAACATAAAGAAATTTAGAAATAATCAAACTGCTCAAATAAGGAGTCAGTCGCTTGTTGTCACGTCGATATTCCAGAAGAAGGTTATGATAACACTACTGGGGAATAAAGTTCATCTTCAATGGGGAACCATGAGTAAATCCTTCTTGAGGAGACCAAGTATTTACATTGCAAAATAAATGCACTCTCCATCTAGGTTTCACAACCTAGAGATATTCACAGGGTATCGTTCACAAGAGACACAACTCAATCCGGGAATAAACTGGAGAGAAAACAGTCAAACAAGACTCCACCCAATGAGGAAATAACTCAAATGGGAATTTATCCTATCCAGAGATGGAAAAGGAAAGCTAAATCAAGATTCTTCCACGAGAGTTAACTCAGTGGGGAATTAGAAAGAAGGCACACTTTATGCTTAAGTCGACACTCTATTTGGAAAGATCAAATATGTTATTTGAATAGACATAACCAAGGTGTACGAACTCAATGACATCAACAAATACAACTGTGCATGCATGATGCAAGTGTGAATGAATAAATGAATGTCATGTATATGCTGACAAAACAGACAGGGGAGATAGACTGAAGATGATAAGACGTCATAGTACAGCTCGACACTCGGCTAATCTCAACAGGATGGTAACATTACTGGAGATAGAAAACAAAAGCCATCATTGGAGCAAAGTCCTTTTACAAGGCTTAAATCTCTTTGAAGAGGAAGATATTTTCAGGTAGAAAACCCAAAGTCCAGTCTTCTATTATCGACAATCCATTGAAAGGATAACAACACGAACAATGCTTCAGCTGGAAAAAGTCATGCTTAGCTGGAGATACTGGGAACACCACCCTCTGATAATGTGTGCAATACATATCACATATCTTGACAAATCTAGATTGCCCCTGGGACCAATTTTGGATGCCCCAAGTTTACTGCTGATGAGCTGCATGTTGCACGACAATTCTTGCGAATAGCTTCACTTCTAACATGCCCCAAACTATCTGGTTGATGAGGAGAAATCGTCTCAAGAGGATTTTACAAAAGACCTGGCATTCACCATGCTCCGGTGTCTTCAAACTCTTAGAGGAATTCATCAAATCTCGACGTGATTGCCCCGGATTGACTGTAGTTGGCACAACAAAGTCTTCAAAATTTGCCCCAAAAGAGGGTAAACAAGTTGGGAAAGCATTAACTGGGAGAAGCAACATGTTCGTGCTTATGGTCTTCAGGTGACATGCCCCTGCATATGATTTTTTCTTGAAATGATTCGCCATTTTCTCAACATAGTTTCAAGCCTTAAAAGAATAGACTCATCACTGGTGCTTATGTGAGCTTCCTTGATATCAAACAAATGTTTTGCAGTTAGAAAAAAAAGTTTACAATGAGAATGAAAATTCTAATGCAACCGTTATGTAAGTCTTGAAGATTTTGAAAGATATCGCACAAATTTTGCGAGTTAAAGCACCATTTATTCTTGTATAGGAAAAACATATGATACCAACATAACTATTTAGAACATTCATGGGAGTCAGGAACACTATCTCATTGAAGTATGCTTTCAAAATAACCTTGCTTCAATTAGGACTTTTGAAGGTTGTAACGTGGTCTGGTTCATGGTTTTAGAAAAAAAAGATTTAAGGCTCAAAATATTTGGTGCCCACCCACTTCATGATGCTCTTCAGTCCCATGTTCAGTTAATTCAATATGAGTGTTCATCTCTCAAAAGGATTTTGTGACGGTCAAGGAAACGACGAGGCTTTCGGAGTAGAAACCACCCACATGTCTTCGTGTTTGTAGTCACCAATTTGTTCTTTGCTGAGGACTTTTCTTTGCAGTCCTTTTCTTTGCGATTTTATTTTCCCTAACTTTTGCCTGAACTAATTCTTTTGAATTGATAGTCCAGCGGGATGCCTTAATTTTGCCTAAGTCACACGTTTTCATGTTTTTTGACTTAGCAGGCTTTTCTTTTTCTTGATTTTTGACTTTTTGAACAAAATGTGTGACATTAGCTTATCTTTGCTTGTTGAGAGGATTGTGATTGCCTCGTTTCTTGATGAATGAGGGATAACATTGTGGTTCCACATCCTCTAGATTCATTATACATGAAGGATAGCCCTCGTAGTTTAACTTCAGAAATATCTTCCTTATGAATTGAACACTCAATCAAATTAACTGAAAACTACCCTGCCCCAGGTTAAAATTCGAGGGTTTTTTCGTATAGAAAAG